CCCAAAAAAAAAAAAAAAAAAATCCAAGGGTCCAACTTGACTTCTCAGGCCTCTTTCTGCTAGGACCTTTGGCTTTCCCAGCGATTTGGGTTCAGTAAGTCTCTTCAGATGACATAGGAGTAAGCTGAGGCCTGGATCAGTTTTTCTGGTGGTGGCAGCATGGGACTAGGACTTCTGGAGTAGGTTGAATTTAGAAAGGATCATTTTTTTATGTTGGGGTCCTGCATAAGCAGAGTCCTAGAGGCAGGTGTGAGCCTGGTCTTTCAGGCCTGGCTGGAGCTCAGGGTGTGTGTGAGGGTGGGAGAGCTGTAGGTGTTGCCCAAGTTAGGTGAAGAGGGGTATGCAAAATTGGTGGTCCTTCAGGGTGAGATATATGTATCAGATGTGTGTTAGGGATGCCCCACATGCCAGCTTGCAGAGGGCTTCCCATGCTAGGCCAGCATGTAGTCTGAGAGTTGCCATGTATGTGCCAGCTGTGTGTTCGAGGCATGTGGGCACGTGTGCTAGGGGCTGCACGTGAGTGTGTCAGTGTCTCCTCCCCATCACGAGCATCGGGGGTGGTGGTGAGTCACGGGCTCAGCCTTCAGCGCCAACTGTCATGTTCCTTCCCCCCAAATTTCACCCCCCCCACCCAGCCGTTCACCACCCACCCCCTCTGTGTTGCTTCTCCCTTCCATCCCCATGCCCTGCTCAGCTCCCTCTGAGAAGCTGCAGAGTGTTCGCTGGGAAAGTCTCCCACTTTTCCTGACTCTGCCCTCCAGCTCCCTGCCCTTGTTGTCCTGTCCCTCTTTCCCACTGCCTCTCTGCTCTGTGACTAGAGAATGAGACTGCTTTTCCCACCCACTCATCTTCATGGGTCCCAAGGATTTTGCTGCACATTATGGAGAATTCCAGACTCCCCATACATCCCCTCATCTCTGTGGGAGTTTGTTTTGAGGGGCTTCTCCCTTGTCTCCATGGCCAGCAGCTCCTGCCTCAGTGGGCCTCTTTTGTCCATGAGCCACCGCCTTGTCTCTGTGGGTCCCCTGGTGACTGCGGACCTCTCTCGTTTCTGTGACCTTCTCAGGCTCTCCTCAACCCTCTCCCTGCCTGTTGTGGTGTACTTCCTTGTTTCCATTTTTATGGACCACTCTCCGTATCCAAAGAGTGCTTTCTGTTTCCATGGGCCTCTCTTGTGTCTCTGGTCTCTCCCCTTTTTTTCCTTCATGGGGATCTCTCTGTGTCCATGAACTGCCCCTTGTCTCCAAGGTCCTTTTGCTTGTCTCTGTGGGCTGCTACCTTGTCTTGATGAGTCTTTCTTATCCCTGGGCTTTTCTCTGTCCTTGTCCTTGTGGGGTTTGTGGGCCTTGGCCCACCTCTCTGGTCTTGATGACTGACTTTCTTTTCTCTGCATTTCTCTTCATCTCTGTAGCCCTTTCCCCCATCTTCATGGCCTTCTCCCCAGGTCTCCCTGCCTCTCATATCCGTGGGCTCCTGTGCCCAGGGTTGCCTGGGCAGGGCGGTGGCATGGGGTGGTGGAGGAGGTGGCCCGGGGGTGGGCCCTCCATCCAATGCAGCTCCTTCTTCTCATCAGCATTCTCCTCGCGGGGGCCCCCAGCCCCGA